CTCTCTCTCTCTCTCTCTCTCTCTCTCTCTCTCTCTCTCTCTCTCTCTCTCTCTCTCTCTCTACCCTGGATCGTTACCCTGGATACACCCACTCACGTAGCTTACACCTTGGCGAACTGGACTGGACGCTTCTGGACTTTTCTTGTCGGGTGCCGGACGGACTCCTACCGACCTACGACGCTTCGGTACCGACACCTGCCGACCTACGACGTTTCGCCCTCTAGACCCTACGGGACGGCCCTGGGACTTGGGACTTGTCGGGACCTTGGGACCGGGACTGGGTGTCTGCAGCGTGAATCCTTTCAGATGGTATACTCAGACAGCACGTGACCCAACCAACATCCACATATTTGCAGCTATAAGCAGTTGGAAAGTCACACATGGTCCGACTTTTTTTTCGCCCAGTTTTTCATTGGCAATTTGAAATAAAAAAAGGGGGTAATTTTTTGTGCGAAGGTACGTTCTACTTTCTGTTCATTTATTTTAGGAAGAGAGATTTGTGGGTTTCCTGGGCGCCCATTGAGCTGCCTGCATTTTGCTCTGGCCCACGGTTTGTGCAGGCTGGAGAGAAGAAGGGGTTCTGTTACGGTTCTGGCTAGGCCTCGATCCCCGGACCTCATGCTGGGTGCATTATTTTTTCTGGCATATCATCGAGACCAGCTAAATTACAGTTCTGCTCATCAAACTTCAAGGTTGCCTTCAGCCTTAAACCACCAGTACATGGCCCCAGCCAAGTTGAGAGTCCGATTGACCCTCTCCTAAAATTTCGGAGGCTAGGGACAGGGTGTCCGAAGGGCCAGTAGGAAAAAAACTCGTCCTACGCCAGGCCCAGCCCTGAACAAAAAAAAAAAGTTCTCTCCCCCCCCCCCCCCCCCCCCGCGGCAGGCCCTGTCCCGAGTCCCCTAACTTTTCGGAGTGGCTCATTCGAATTCTCCAGATGTACTGGTGGTTTAAAGGTCAGCACTCCGTGGTTCCTTTCACGAATTTCAAGAATCTCAAGTACTTCCATTCATCATCTCATTTCACTGTTAGTACCAAGGTAACCTTAATTGTGGAAGTACTCTGAAGTTTTAACCCCGAGTATCTTGAAAGTTACCCAGGATCAGTCAAGGGAAGTGGCAACCCTGATGTGGTAACCCTAAGCATAAAGATCACCACTCTAGGTTACCTTGAACCTCAAAAGGTCAGCACTCTGTGGTTACTGTTACGAATTTCAAGAATCTCAAGTACTTCCATTCATCATCTCACTAACACACGACTGAGGTGAGATCGCACTTGATTGCAACTCTACAGAAAATCGGAACTGAATCACCGCTCCCAAAACAGTTTATGAAACCGGAAAAAGGCGATGCAGAATTGACCGTCCTGCCTCCCTGCACAATCTGCAACAATCGGCTCAAGAAACCGTCCAGTGAACAGCAAGTTCCCACTGGCTATGGCTGCTCTCTCTCTCTCTCTCTCTCTCTCTCTCTCTCTCT